CCAAAATACCCATAAAAATCCAAAAATCTAAACTCCACAAAAATCTCAAAATCCCCAAAACCCAAAAATATTTAAAATTGAAATCACTCATCCGTACTTAAAGCAAAATCCATCCATCCTCCGCAACAGTTTGTCGAGGTGGACAAATCAAAATTTACTTCAGTTCGCAAAAAACTAATGCCTAGTTGAAAATATTACTAGGATCCATTCTCAAACAATCTCTTGCCAGTAAGGACGTGGTACGTGTCCTCGAACCGGTAGTTTCGCCGCCAAATGGCATTGCAGGTAAACGGTTATGACCCGGGGCCCTCTGAACCGAGTGGTTTTGCCGCCAAATGGCACCACAGATAGCGGTTATGGCCAGAGCCAATACGCTCCTTAGTGGCGTTAAATCCTTGAGATATGAATCAATAGGAATGATTGATAGGGCACAAAGCCCTCTGTTAGCTAAGGTGGATTCAAATTTGTCCCCTTAGACAAACATTTAACCCCGATCTACAAGGTCCCTTTGAACGAAGCAACTCATGGCTGCCGACAAGGATCCTTCTGTCAGGTTGGGTCGACTACCTCCTCTGACTAAGTAGACCAGGGACCACGACGGCCCGAGACAACGGAACCATGGGATCTTGATCGGGTCCATCATCCATTCCTCCACCATCCGCTTTAAGTATAAGATTGTGCAATTTCTATTTTGAATATCAAAATCTCCAAATTCTCCAACATCCAAACTTTCCAAACCTTTTCCAAATATCCAAATTCAAACACAATTTCCAAATTCAAACTCATTGCTACTACTATAGCCAGATAACACGTATGTTCTACGTATCTGATTGATGACTAGCCTGTATCGAAAGTTCTCTCTCGTTATCGGGAGGGGTAATTAACTATAGGGGCTTGCGCCTATAGGAAACCAGAACTCAGATCATAAAGTCCTCGCAAAATGAGGGCGAAATCTTTGGGTAGTGTCTTATCTACGAACCCATCTGCCTTCCAAAGTTTACCTCGGTACTTATTCAGTTAAAACTCCCTCGCCGAATAAAAAGAAAAGCGCGGCGGAGAGGCCGGGGCCGAATTTTCGGAGCCCACAAATTCTCACAACATCCAGCTTAATGTAACTCACCACGATCAAATGAACAAAAAAATAGTCTGCTCAAACATTTAAACATATAACAAATATTTAATAATCATCTTATATAATCATCATAAAGTTCAAAATGAAAGTGTACAACAACATCAAACTTTTATCCACTACGTGGGGTTGGCTATATGAATATTTTTTTTTCCATTATGTCCTATTAAGAGTCAAATTCTCATTTAAATCTAATAAAAAAATGTCATTTCTAATACTTTCTAACCAAGCCTTTTTAGGTCTACCTCTACATTATCTTACGTAGGCTAAATCTAATAAATCTACTCTTCTAACTGGGTCATCGAAATGTAGACGTTATCCGACCAAATTATTTAAGGCAACTCTCTCTAATCTTATCTGTCGCAGGAGCTACTCCAACTGTTTCACATATATACTCATTTCTTATTCTATATATAATTAAAATTATCAAATTAATTATAGAGCTTCTAATTTTAACTTCTAAAATAAATTCTTACATAACGAATATCTTTAACTTGCATCATCACCATATATATCTTTTACAATGAATTCATACATAAAAAAAATATGTATGTATAGAGTAAAATACATCACCTATTTCCTATTCCACACGTCCCTTTTTATTTGTTGGAATTAGTGTAGAAATATATTAGTTTTCAAAAAAATCACATTCATGGTATTGCAATATTTTTTAGTATTGGGAAAATAATATGTATACCATTTTTGGTTAGAAGAATAGCTAATAGAAATACATTTTATTTCTTTTGGGTCAAGTTTACTTCTTTAACATGAAAGAATATAGGCAAAAGTTGAGCAGTCGAATCCCTTGAGAAATAATAGAATTGAGTTTGCTGCGACCTCTGCAGGAATGGAGTCACCTGATATAACTCCAAGAGAAGAAAGCCTATTGCCACCTCATCCACCTTTTGTACCACCAAATGCCATACCTGAGTTGGTTAAGTTTGACCATGAGAAGCGAACTGTGATGGCTAGACCTAGTTTTGGAAGTGAAGGCCGCCACATCCAACTTCTTACAAACTACTTCACCGTGAACTTGACGGCTCAGGATCAGTTTTTCTGCCAATACAAAGTATGCTCGAGCTATGCTCTCGTGTGTTTCAATGCTCTATTTCCTTGCATTGGTTTATGATATTTTCCCCTTTTTACTGCATGCAGATTTCTATAAAATCTATTGATAACCTTGCAGTGGAAGGAAAGGCTATTGGACGAAAGGTCATGGACAGGCTATATCAGACTTACAGTTTAGAGCTTGGTGGAAAAGAATTTGCATATGATGGATATAACAGCTTGTTCACCGTTGGGTTTCTTCCTCAGAATAATTTTGATTTTACTGTAGTATTGGAAGAATCAACTAGGTAGATTATCCCTCTCATTGTCGCGCCAAATTGTTTTCTTGATTTTGTAGTGAAAATGTTACCTTATGCCAACCTCTTTGGTCTCTTTCCTTGTCAGAGTTCCTTGTGGAAGTGCTAGTGGTGAGAACCCAAGCTTTGACACTCGCAAGCTCTCTAAACACTCACTAGTTGCAAAGACGCTTACTGTCCAGATAAGGTATGAAACCAAAATCCCATTAAGTGCAATTTCACTGTTTCCTGGGGGAAGTGAGACAGGCCATACACAAGATGTTTTAAGAGTTCTTGACATGATTCTGAGGCAGCAGCAGGCAAGAAGGTCTGGCCTATGGTTTCTTCATATCTAGCATTTTATTTTTTCTTTATCTATCACACATTTCTATTTGCTAAATGTAATATGGCAGGGGATGCCTGGTTGTAAGACAATCTTATTTTGATGGTGATCCTGCAAACTTCACTGATTTGGGTGGTGGTGTTACTGGTTGCCGAGGATTTCATTCTTGCTTTCACGCAACCCATGGTGGTCTATTCTTAAACATGGGTATTGGTTCTCTTGCTTCTACTCCATCTATCTTTTTTCATGATCAACTAGTTTGCCTAATTCCATTCGTCCCCTCGCAGATGTTTCTACAACTATAATGTTAAAACCTGGTCCAGTTATTGACTTTTTAATTGCAAATCAAAATGTTCGGAATGCTAAAGAGATTAATTGGACCAAGGTAGAAAACCTTGAGCATCCTAAATTATTGTTTGAGATATTTTAAACTATTATTCCTATCCATGATTTATTACTGGAGGATTGGTTTTTGTAGTCATGGTTATTTAATGATTATATGCAGGCTAAGAGAACTCTAAAAAATATGAGAATCAAAACTATACATACTAACCTGGAATTCAAGATCATAGGGCTGAGTCCACTTCCTTGCAGCCAACAAACGTATACATTCTCTATCTATATTCCCCATCTATTTGTATCACTCATCTTAGTTTTCTATTTTGTCTTTCCTGGAATCCTTTTTAAGTTTTCCCTGTCAACTTATTGTCCATAGATTCATATTGAAAGGTAAAATTGATGATGGAAAGGATCTTCCAGTGGAAGTTACTGTTTTCAATTATTTTAAAGAGAAGTGCATTGAGTTGACATGGTCATCTTCTCTGCCCTGTCTTGTTGTTGGGAAGCCGAAGCGCCCCATTTACCTTCCTATAGAGGTTTGAATCTTGTGATTTTTTTATGGTTTTTCTTGAACTTATACGTGGACTCCCCCTCTCCACCCAAACAGAAAAAAAAAATAAATAGAATATCTTTCATTAAAATTTATAAGGGATGGTAATTTTGCAGCTATGCAATCTCATATCATTACAACGGTATACAAAGGCCCTATCTTCTCAACTGAGAGCATCATTGGTTGAAAGGTCTAGACAGAAGCCTCAGGAACGAATAAGAGCTGTGACTAATGTGAGATATTTTTTCATTGATATTGTGTATACTCATGCTTAGGTTGTTAAAATACTATTATTTTGTTGTATGGCAGGCGTTTCAAAAAAATCACTATAATAACGAACCATTGATTTCTTCTTGTGGGATCACAATTGAGAAGCAGCTAGCCGAGATAGATGGTCGTATTCTTAACGCTCCTACAGTAAGCATGACTATTGTCTAAGATTTTCTGCCACACTCTTTTGTTTTTTATGCACGTGTTGCCACTTTTTTTCTACGATTTGAAGAATGATGAAGAATCTTGCTCTTGTTGCTTGAACAGCTGAAGGTTGGTAACGAGGAAGACTGTTTTCCTAAGAATGGCCGTTGGAACTTCACTAACAAGGTTTAGGGAACGCTACACTGGCTCAGCCATTGATCTAATGCTTCCATGTATTATCATAACTTGGGTTTCTTCTGTAGAGGTTATTGCAAGCCATACCGATTGAAAGTTGGGCGATTGTGAATTTTTCAGCGCGATGTGATCTAAGCCACCTATCTCGTGAAATGATTAACTGTGCAAGGAACAAAGGAATTGTAAGTTATGTTCTTCACTCTCTTTTCCTCCCATCCCTTCTTCCTCTTCTTTTTATCAATTTCTTTACTATTTGGGCTGCTTTGGGCAGATTATCAATCGCCCATTCACAATTATTGAGGAAAATCACCAATATGTTCGAATGGAGCCTGCAGTTAGAGTTGAAAAAATGTTTGAAGAGGTTATAAAAAGATTTCCTTTTCCACCACAGCTTCTCCTGTGTGTTCTTCCAGAAAAAAAGAACTCTGCTCTTTATGGTTGGTACCTTACATTTCTGGTTCTTTCTGTAGATTATTCATGTTAGTTGTACTTTGAATTTGTTTTCTCTTCCATTCTGCTTTCTAGGACCATGGAAAAAGAAGAATCTGCATGAAATGGGAATAGTTAACCAATGTATTTCTCCTACTAGGATCACTGACCATTACTTGACTAATGTTCTTTTAAAGATCAACACTAAGGTATTAATTGTTCATTTCATAATCTAATGACAATTTACCTTTAATAATTTTTTTTGGTATGGGAATCTTTTCCTCCTTTCATAACATTGCCATCCAATCAATTCCTGCCCTATAAGCTTGGTGGTATAAATTCTCTTCTTGCGGTTGAGGCAAATCCAAGTATTCCTTTAGTTACAGATGTTCCTACCATGATTGTGGGGATAGGTATCTCCCATGTATCTCGAGGGCATGCTGATCTCCCATCTGTAGCAGCAGTGAGTCACTTTTATGTTACTTTTGATCATCAATCTTCCGTAGGATATAATGATATCAAAGATCAATTTATGTACACTTTATATGTCATTTGGGTTAAAAAAATTTTACTCTTTTTTGTGAATTATCAGGCAGTCGGTTCTAGAAATTGGCCATTAATTTCCAGGTATAGTGCATCAGTGAGGACGCAGTCGGCAAGGCTAGAAATAATAGACTCTTTATACAAGCCTTTATCAAATGGAGAGGATGATGGAATGATGAGGTGTTGTTTTCCATGCATTTCATGTATTTTTTAGCCTAACAGTTTCTTATGTTGCAATGATAATTTAATTCAAGCTTTCTCTATTAATGAAACACATAAACTCATCTTAGAAATCAGTTTAGAACTGGAGCTTAAGGGGCACCCGAAGACATTTTTTATATCTAACATGGTATCTTATGTCTAACATTTTTTATATCTTATCTGCAAGCATATTTGGCTGTGCAAGTGTGAGCTAAAAAAATTATGTGTGTTTGGATATATAAAATAAAAATAAATAAATAACAAAAATTTTGCAATCACTCGAGGAAAAAAAATAAGCCAGATGAATCATGAATGTCTATGATCTCCTTTTCTTATAAGGAGGAAGCAATACAATCATTTATTTAGCAAATGTAATTGCATTTGTATGCATGTGTTGGTTCTGCACATGAATACAGGTCATTGTGGTAAGCCATAAAATTATGCACAATGAACCTTCCTAATTCCATATTTTTAAGCAAAACATCTGAAGGAAAATGGAGATTGTAGAGCTGGAAGAATGGTTCGCTAAGATTATGAGACGCATCAATATCTCTGAAACCGCTTCCAGATTGTAATATTGCTCTTTCAACATCATACCAAACTCAGAAGCTCCAAAACCTCTTATAGCTATCCCTTGTCAAGAAGGGTTGTAGATATCTTTGAGAACATATCAGCGCACATGGATGGATTGCTTCTGTGGACAATTTACTTCATTTAGGCTTTGCAAGAGTGGCAAAAGAAGGAATAATTATGTAAAGCAGGAGCCCTTCACACATAATAAGCTACTTCTTGACATATTTTTAACAAATATAGAGAGAATTTTCATTAGCATCACATTGATATTAAGGAACAACATTCTGGAAGATCAATTTATGTGGTTTTGGGCTTCAAGACAATTACATCCTTTTTGCTTTCATGTATTGGCCAAAGACCAAAGAAAATATCCTATTGCGGGTAGGAATAAAATTGACTATAAGTAGGATTTGGAAGAATATATATATATATATATATATGACGGTTCATGTTTATGAGAAATAAAAAAATGGTTCAACAGGAAGTATGCTAGATTACAAGAATTTCAAAATTCAGAGCAGAAAACATTAAAGCCCAATTGCATTATGACGATCAAGGAAGGTGGTGTGGGCTCCGAAAATTCGGCCTCGGCCTCCACTCGCTTTTCTTATTCGGCGAGGGAGTTTTAACGAACTAAGTTCCGAGGTAAATTTTGGAAGGCAGATGAGTTTGTAGATAAGACACTACCCAGAGATTTCGCCCTCATTTTGCGAGGACTTTATGATCTGAGTTCTGGTTTCCTATAGGCGCAAGCCCCTATAGTTAATTACCCCTCCCGATCACGAGAAAGAACTTTCGATTAAGGCTAGTCGTAAATCAGATACGTA